CTCCCCCACCTCCCCCCTTCCTCTCTCTAAGATCAATTTTTTTAAAAAGGCAACAAGTAAATGTTGTCAAGGATATGGAGAAATGGGAACCCTTGTGCTCTATTGGTAGGAATGTAAAATGGTGCAGCTACTTTGGAAAACAGTATGGAAGTTTCTCAAAAATAAAAAATAGAACTACCATAGGACACAGTAATTCCTTTTCTGGGCATTTATCCAAAAAAAACAAAAATACTAATTCAAAAATATATATGCACCTCTGTTTATAACAGCATTATTTACACTAGCCAGGATACAGAGGAAACTTAGTTCATCGATGAATGGATAAGATGTAGAGGCACCCTACATCTTGGTGAACTACACAGTGACAGATGGTTTGTAGACTTAGTGTTGTGATCACATTGTAAGGTATATAAATGTCAAATCACTGTTGTACACCTAAAATTAATATAATATTGTATGTCAGCTATACTTTTATTTTTTAAAAAGGCACCAAAAATCTTAGCAAGAGAAGTGATATTCCTAAATTGGTGTTGTAAGAATATTGCCACCTTTGTCCAGCAGTATGTGCTCATATATGTTGCAAATAAAGATAACCTAGCCTTATAAAACAGTTAAGTAAGGAAAATTATATCCATAAGGAAAGGATCTATATCTTTATACTGAAGGGGTCATTATTATTTCTCTACTTAGCAAACTCTCCCAGAACCTTTGGAATACTTGTACCCTAGCAGAATGTAAGGGCCCTCCACTTCTCAGAACCTTATATTATGTAACTCTCTTAAGAGGTGTGGCACATTTTATGTAGATTGACAGGTTGTTACACTGCTCATATTCATTGTGATAGTATCTTGGTTTTTGTTTTTGGATAATGTAAAACACATGTTTTCCCCTTTAAGACAGTTAAGCTGTTTGTAGGGGGGGAAAATCCTGGTACCTTTTATAAGCTGCTTATACTCGTAACACAGATTAACTTCCCAGCATATAAAGGGAATACTGGAAAACCCTTGCATGATTAAATATGCCCCTAGAGGATTAAGTTTTTCCACATATTTTTCAAGCCAAAGCTATTAATAATGTTTCAGCATTAAACTTTCTGTACATCATGATTATGGGGAAGGCCTTTACTCATTCTGTCCTTGCTGTTGGTTTTTCCACTGTCCAGATTTGTAGCACCAAAAAATTATCTGTGAAAACATAGGCTTGAAAACTGAAAGTTTAATGAAGTCTAACAAATTCTCATCTCTGGAATTATTTCAGGTTTTTTTCAAAGTTTTTGTTCATTTTTCAAACTCATTTCTTCTTTTACCCTACTAGAAGCCTGGCACAAAGTAGCTATTTCGTGAGTATAGTGGTTCACTCAGAAATACATGATCACTAAACACTCAGCATTTTTCATTTCAAACAAGGTCATTTAATTTCCATGCACATTTTTCCTTAGATAACAATCTGGTTTGTAAGAAATCTTATTACTGAGGGATTCAGTTATTAAGTGCCTTTTTATCCAAGCAGTAGGTTGTCAAATTAGTTTACTGTATGTAGTTAACCGAAGACTGTTTTGTATATGTCTTGAGACATGACGTCCACCCCACTCCTCCAGCACTTCAGGATCCCAGTCTAGCTATTCCCTCCATCCTGCAGTTCTTTTCCTACCAGCCTTGGGTCCCTTCTTGGTATTCATCAGCCCCTCAATTTCTTTGATCTCTGTTTTTTTCACCCCTATCCTTCAAGTCCCCAAGCTTAGATGGGTCCTTTAACCACCTTTCTTTGAAAGCTTATATTTTCTGTCCTGAGCAGAGGGCTCAGATTGCTTAGCACTCTTTCTGTGATGCTGATCAGCTTCCTTTCTCACATTCCCCACACAGATGTCCCAGATCATTACCACCCTCCTCAAGCTTTGTGGCCTGCCCCTTCCCTCTCTCTGGCAGCAGATGACCTTGTTGCCTGCTGTTCAGACCCTAGAGCTCCTCAGCCCAGTTTCCTACTCTCCTAAATTATCACTACAGCTGCTGTGCTTCCTGTGGCTCAGAGAGGACTCACCCTCCTTTCTAGCTCCAACTTCATCAGCAGGACTTTAGAGTTCTTCCTTCTCTTCTGAGACTTTTCTCCAGCCCTGGGGAAGGAAAACAAAACCACTAAACTAAGATTTTAATATTATTTAAAGAAGTAATACATGCATCTGGTTTTTAAAATTCAAGTAGTATAAAAGAATATACAGAAGCAACTACTTGATGCGAGTTGCGTGTGTGTGTATTTTCTTCCAGAGATGATATATGCATAAACAAGCATATGCATATGTACATTTCCCGCCCTTCCTCTTTCCTCCTCTGCTTTTATTTTAAAAACATTAATACTAGACACATGGTCTGTCTGGTCATTGCTTTTTAATATATCCCTCTGTCTTGGAAATCAGTTTATATTGGTACTTTGGAACTGTCTAATTAGTTTTTGGGAGGTCTGGGGGACAATGATCTTTTTTTACAATTTCTTTTTCAGTTACAGTTTACTTTCAATATATAGAACTGCCTCATTCTTTTGATGGATCCAGATTATGTCCTTGATTGTAAATATACCATGATTTAGTTAATCAGTCCCCTATTGAAGGGTAGTTGTTTCTAATCTTTTGTTGTTTCAACTTGCTATATAGTATTTGACTACATGAATAAACTACAGTTTGTTCATTCATTCTACTGTTGGTGGACACTTGTGTAGTTTCTAGTTGGGAGCTATCATGAATAGTGCTTTTGTGGACACTTTTGTTTGGGTCTTCTGACGCACGTATGTATACATTTTTTGTTGTGTATGTATAACCAGGAGTAGAATTTCTTGAGCATAGGGCATATAAGTGTTAAGCCTCTAGAGTGGTTGCCTCACTTTGTACTCCCATAAGAATGCTGGTTGTTCAAAATCCTTGCCAGTACTTGTTTTTTTCTGTCTTTTCCATTTTAGCCATTTCAGCCACTACTATAAAGCAGTATTTCATTGTAGTTTTACTTTTTAGTTCCCTGATCACTTGTAATGCTGAGCAACATTTCATAAGTTTATTGGGTCTCCTCTTTTGTGACATGCCTGGTGAAATTTAGTTTTACATTTTTTAATTTTTTTTTTTTTTTTTTTTAATCTATTTGGCTAGCCAGTTGGTAACATTTCCCATCCTTCTGTCCCTTCCTTTCCCTTTATCCTTGTAAAAATATTTTCTTGGCTCTTCTCTTACCTGTGGTTTTTTTTGTGTGTGTGTTCGTTTTTTAATAACAAGTGGGCTTTAAAATCAGTAACCCCAACTCTTCTAGGATTTTTAATGAATTTGCATGTAACTTATTTTATATGAGAAAAAAATTTCCATCTCAATTGGAAGATAATATTGTCATCCTTTCTAAGAAAGAAAAAAGTGATAAATACTAAGCCCTCCCAGGTTTTTTGCCTAACAGATTGGTTATCCCCATACTTAATACTAGTTTTTGTTTCATTTTTGGCAGGTGCTTAGTAAAGTGAAAATCTTTGAATATGCATTTAAGACCTACAGCGCCCTTTTAAAAAATATAAATGTTTTACAGGTTCTTGATCAATATGAACGAGAAGGATTTCATTTCTTAGCGAAGGTGTTTAATTCTTCACATTCCTTCTTAGAAGACTTGACAGGTCTTACATTGCTGCATCAAGAGACCCAAGCTGCTGAGGTAAGAATAAAACAAGTTTTATGTACTGAGAATTGATGTATTTGATGTTCAGATTTACAGAAAAGGAAGGGAGCAGTTAATTATTATTATTTTTTTCCCCTTAGAACAAACCCTCTGCAGTTGCTAGATGCTGATGTGTGCAGGTTGTTGTATAATAAGTGTCAAATGCAAAAAAATTGTTGATAAAGGAAGTACAGGTTATTGATTCCTAAGCACCTGTTTCTTACTGAAAAACAGCATGCCAGTGGCCATTAGAGAGTTGGTTCTAATGTCCATACATCAAATGCAAGCCAAGGAAGACACTGGACTCTGACACCGTTCTTTAAAGAGAACATGCCTGGCTTTTATTTCACAATTTGATCAGTCTTAGGCCATTGAACCCTACCATGAAATAGCTTCTTCAGTTACAACCTAAGAGAGTTACGTTCAGCTTGTCAATTTGAATATTTTGCAGATCTTAATTTCCCATACCACCGCAATCATGTTTATTTGTTTTTTAAAGATGGGGATTAAAAAAATAGTTGTTTTGTTTTTTCCAAATGCTCACTGTTCTTAAAGAAGGGTATTACTGTAAGTGGTGTGGAGCTGTTTGCGTCACTTGGCAAAATGGACAGTTTCTCAAAATGGTTGAATGAAATTAAATCAACATCTTTCTACTCAGTTACCCAGGGGAAAAAGCTCTAAGGAAAAATGTGACCTATCATAGCATTTCCACAAGCTACATAAGAACCTTGAGTGCCTGTATACTGCACAGTTGCCATTAGTCCTATAGTCCGATTCTCTGATTACCTCCCCACTGCCACCCCTTCCTGGTGTTGTATTGTCTCATCAGTAGGGGAGGCCCCAGTGGTTATGAGTAGATGATCAGGCCCAATACTAGACCAGCTGGTGGTGAAAAGGCTGCTGTTTGGAAGATTGGAGGTAGCACTGAGCATAGGAAAATCATGTGGAAATACCAGAGTCAAATCCTTTGAAATTTTCAGCAGATTTGGGTGAGAATTTTAAGCACACCAGAGACACAAGATAGTGCATCTCTAGTGCTAGACTTAGAACTGAAACTGGTTCTTCTTTAACTTGCTTTGGCTTTGGGGTCCTGGGCATTTAACAAATGTAGTCTTCCACTGATGACCAGTAGTTAGACCCACATAGAGTCTCTTAATTTCAGAAGGTGAATGGCATCTCTGCAGGACTTTAAGAGACTTTCATATCTTCCCCAGAATTTGGCCCAGGTTCCCAGAGAGGGTTCAGAACTTTATGTTGATGTTAGCCATCATATTTTCTTTTGAGCAGCAGTATACTGCCAGATGATGAGGGGAAAATAACTTATAGGTCTTTTCAACCATACAATCATTTCACTAGTTGGTTGGGGAATTTTTCCAGCCAGCTAGAAATAATTCACATGCTTTTCTTTAGTTGGCATGAAGAATTGAAACTTGAAATTGACCTCATATTTTCACTCTTTAAAACAGAGCAGATGTTAGAATAATGGGCACATTTCTTGATTAAACCTGGCTCTTTTGCATTTTAGTTGGTCAAACATTAATAGCCTTTTAAAAGACCCTGGAAGTTTAAGGCAGCAATAGTGACTAAACAGATGGTGGGGCAGGATGGGGCATGGATTCTCCTACAGGTCTGAGTTTTCTTCTTGAACTTTTTTTCTATTAAATTATATTTATAGTTTTGGAATCATAAGCCACACATCAAATTTTTGATTAGAGATGGTAAACTGGTTGGCCTATGAGCCAGATATGGCTTGCAGGTGTGTTTTGTTTGGCCTGCCCTATGTGTTAAATTCTGAATAAAGCCAACATTTTAAAATTATGAGTTTTACATAAAAATCAGAATTTTCCCATTTATAACTTCTTTGAAAAATCAAATCTGGCAACTTCAGGACTGCATTCCTAAATAGTGATGGTTAGGTGGAGCCAAGAAGCAAATTATATAGATAAATAATGTACCTGATATGAAATTTAAAGGTATAAAAAATATTCTGTGTGTAAAGGAAATCTACACCTTTCCCTTACCACCCAGTTTCCTTAGTGGAGATAAACACTGTTGTTAGTTTCTTGCCCAAAGGTATTTTTTTTACATATTATTTATATATTTATTTTTAATTTTTCAATTTCAGTTGACATTCAATATTATTTTATATTAGTTTCAGGTGTACAGCATAGTGGTTAGACAATTATATAATTTATGAGCTGATCCCCCCCAATAATTTAGTATTCGCCTGGCACCATACATAGTTATTACAATATTATTGACTATATTCCCTATGCTGTACTTTACATGCCCATGACTATTTTGTAACCACCAATCTGTACATCTCCATCCCTTGACCTTTTTCACCCAATCCCCAAAACCCCCTCCCATTCTGCAACCCTCAGTTTGTTCTCTGCATCTATGAGCCCGTTTCTGTTTTATTTATTTTGTTCTTTAGATTCCACATATAAACAAAATCATATGGTATTTGTCTTTCTCTGTCTAACTTGTTTCACTTAGTATGATAACTCTCTAGGTTCATCCATGTCATCACAAGTGGTAAGATTCTATTCTTTTCTATGACTAAGTAATATTCTATTGTATATATGTACTACATCTTTACCCACCCATCTGTGGGTTGCTTCCATATCTTGACTATTGTAAATAATGCTGCAATGAACATAGGAGTGCATATATCTTTTTGAATTAGTGTTTTGGGTTTCTTTGGATTTATACCCAGAAGTGAAATTGCTGGGTCATAATGTAGTTCTCTTTTTTATTTTGCTAAGGTAACTCCATACTGTTTTACACAGCAGCTGCACCGAAGTGCAGTCCGACCAACAGTGAACGAGGATTCCCTTTTTTCCACATCCTCAGCAACACTTGTTTGTTGATTTATTGATGGTGGCCATTCTCACAGATGTGAGGTGATATCTCATTGTGGTTTTAATTTGCATTTCTCTGATGATTAGTGATGTTGAGTATCTTTTCATATGTCGATTGGCCATCTATATGTCCTCTTTGGAGAAGTACCTGTTCAGATCTTCTGCCCATTTTTTAATTGGATCATTTGTTTGTTTTGATGCTGAGTTGTATGAGTTCTTTATAAACTTTGGACATTAACCCCTTATCAGATGTCTCATCAGCAAATATCTTCTCCCATTCAGTAGGTTGTCTTTTCTAGTTTGACATAGTCTTATTTTTTAATGTTTTCTTTTGTTTCCCTTACTCGAACAGATATATGAGAAGAAATATTGCTAACAAAAATATCAAAGATTTTACTGCCTGTGTTTTCTTCTAGGAGTTTTATGCTTTCTGGTCTTACAATTAGGACTTTAATCCATTTTGAGTTTATGGTGTAACAAAATGGTCTAGTTTTTTGTGTTTTTTTTGCACATTATCTGTCCAATTGTCACAGCACCATTTATTGAGTAGACTGTCTTTACCCCGTTGTATGTTCTTGCCTCCTTTGCCATAGATTAATTGACCATATAGGCATGGGTTTATTTCTGGGCTTTCTATTCTGTCCCCAAAAGTATTCTTTAGGTGATGTTCTCCATTTAGGTGATGCTTTTCAGTTGATGATCCTTATAGGTATTGGTATTTGCAGCCCCTATCTTAGAACAGGATCATTACTTTTCTTAAAAAGCTCTAAATAGGGCTGTGTTTTAAGATAATGCTCACCAAAGGACCTTATAACAACAAAAATCATCCTACCTACATTAATTTATATTACTGTGAAAATGTGTGTGTAAATAAATAAATAGGTATGTCAAAAAATATATACATATCTGTGTAAAGATAGTGTTTTGATTTATGTATTTGATTCCCAGTGCATTTGCATTGTTCAGTGATAAAAATGCAAAATTCTGCATCCCATATAGAAAGGTCTCAACTTATTTATTTTAACAATGGAATGAAGAATGCCCAATTAATTCTCATCTTAGGCTAACTGTTTTCATGCATCAACATTGGAATTGCAAACAAAAGATTCAACCAGATAATTATGTGTGACAGTAGCATTTTATACATTAATTATAAAATATACATTTGTACAGATACTGTTTTTAAAAAGAGAATTACTGAACATCTTTTGAAAATAGCAAGGCAGTGTGCTAGTGAGCAAATACAGAAGTTAATGAGATGAGCTCATGGTCTAGTGCGAGAAACAGAGACATAAATAGGGCACTCTAATATCATTAAAAATGTTCTGGTCATTTATATATTAAGTGCTGAGAGAGCAGTTACTGCTGCCTGAGGGGTGGGGGAGAAGGAGGGATTAAGGAAGTCAAGGAAAGCTTCACACAGAAGGAAACAAATATTCCAGTTAGGTTTTTAAAATTATTTTAATTGAGGAATAATTGACATACAACATTATATTAGTTTCTAGTGTTCACTGTAATTAATGATTTGCTATTTGTACATATTGCAAAACAATCACCACAGTAAATGTAGTTAATATCCATCACCAGTTAGTTTTAAAGGATAAGTAAGCTATCTTTTAAAATAAAAGTTGGATTTGGGCAGGGAAAGGTTAGGGGGAGGACATTCTAGGCTGAATAAATGTCTCAGAGGCCAAGTCTTTAGTGTGTTACTCAGAATCATGAGCGTGTATCTGGAGCCAGAGTTTCCTGAAATCAGATAAGGTTGTTTTTTTATTAATAACAGCTTTATTGAGTTATAATTCACATACTATGAAATTCACCCTTTTAAAGTGTACAGTTCAGTGGGTTTTTTAGTATATTCACAGAGTTGTGCTATTATTACTACTAAGTTTAGAACATTTTCATCACACCCAAAAGAAACTCTGTACCATTAAACAGTCACTCCTCATTCCCCCCTGATCCTAGGCCTGGCAACCACTACTCTACTTTCTGTCTCTATAGAGTTGCCTATTCTGGACATGTCATGTAAATGGAATCTCATAATATGTGACCTTTTGTATCTGGCATCTTTAACTTAGCATGATGTTCTCAAGGTTCATCCATGTTGGGGCAAGATAATTCTTTTTTAATTAG